CCAAAACCCCAAAACCCCAAAACCCCAAAACCCCAAAACCCCAAAACCCCGCGTTAATAAGATTTGCTTATTTTAATATCTGAATTTATAATGCAAAAAGAAAACAGGCCAGAATAATATACGATAATGGGAATCCAATTATAAGATATTTATTTTCATTCTGATCAAAATCTAACGTAGCCAGGATTCCCTGCAAGGATTTGCTCATATTTTTCTTCTGACACTAATTTATCTCTAACTACATCATCTACAACATATCTGGGCATTCTAGGTGGCCACTAGAAAAAATCTATATTAGGGCTCTCACCTCCATACCTTTTCTCGATCTAACTAGGATGAAAATGCTCAAATAGTCTTTCATGAGTTTTCTTGTCGGTTAATACTATTTTGTTAGTCGTGTGAGTCTCTAAAAAGCCCTTAACAGTGGACCAAATCATTTTAAAACCCCTTGAGGCATTCAATAAGAATATATTTACTACCACACATCTGTACTGTCCTTGCATGGATCTCAAAAATGTATGTAGTTGCTATTCAAATCATTAATATACTAGTTAATACTTTATAAGGAGTATTCAAAAATCCAAGATCTTATAGATCAATAAGAGTCATCCAGTTTTCTATTTAGCCTGGTATGAACATATTATTTCTCAGGTATTCAATCATAAATGTAATTGCACTCACAAGGTCATTAGTATCTGGAGGGGGCTATGAGTATTAGAATATTTAACTTACTCTCATTGCCATGAGCTTTGTAAGCATTTGAGGCCTCACTACAATCAAAGGTCTAAAGTTTCTATCTCTGCCATGAATATAGAATAACCCGGAATTCTAATTACGTGTATTATTAACAGTTTAAAATCTTACTATGATGATTTCTGCTTTATCAGTAATTCTCAGGGGAAAAGCGCTTGACCTCCACTCAAACCACTGCATTAACTTTCCTAGACTTTCTTTGTAATCATACTTAGCTGCTTGAAGATTTCTAATGTATTCTTGTAATGGAATACTATATTTTTGTAATCATTTTATTGTTTCCTTACTCTTTGGATAAACTAACTTGATTATCTTTCAAAAGATTGATAAATTTCTGCAGTTCTTCTTGTTCTTAGGCCTCAAATTCCTAATTTCCATAGAAGACTCTTCTCAAAAGGTATTTGCCATCAATATACACTTTATCGTCCTCTATAATTTTATTTTTATTGCTTGAAATTATACTTGAAGGGAAAAATCGGTATGCATCTAAAGGTATTTTAACTTCTTCTGTAACCTCAAGAAGATAGCTGTGTCTTGGCTCGAATTGAAAAGAGGTGATGAAGGGGTTTACTTGGATCGATTCAACCATTCTAGTACAAATTTTAAATACTTAATAATTTGAATTTATATACTTGTCAATGTTTCTAATAATGGAATACAGGGGTTTTGGGGTTTTGGGGTTTTGGGG